CTGTTTATGCCACTCCCATGTCGAAATGGGCGCAGGGTGCAAAGTGCTCTTTCTACTTACGCCATTTATCAAAGCGTAACCTGACCGGCCCGGGTAAAAATAGCTTTTAGGCGCCCTACAGACCTCTTATTTGCTCCACGGGCGAAGGAACATCATGAAGTGGCTGGGCCTCCTTTTTTGTCAAGGGGCCTCCTTTTCCAATGGGCCACCTATTTTCAGGGGTGGCCCGTAGCTTTTGACAGGGGTCTCCAACTTTTGCCTCGTATACTACTGACAAAAGTTAGAGACCCCTAAAAAAGGCATGGCCCCCTGAAAATGAGGCCCCTTGGGTGGCCCATCCACTTCATGACGTTTCTACGTCCGTGCTTTCCTCTCAAAAAGCGATCTTGCGAGGCAGCACTCGAGCTCTTAACTCAACCATTCAACATATTCTGACAAAATCCAGAAACCTTGAACGATACCTGTAATCCAAATGTTTCCCTATTCGGATTACCTACCTGTTTTTCTCCTGTTTGGAATATGCACGTTGTTATTACCATCACCGATTCGGCAATCATGACATCCGCCACTGAACGCTAGCCATCTGTCATCCGTCACCTGTCAACCGTTATCCGCTGCGCTCGCAGTCGGAGCAAGGTTACCCGGAAAGGGTACCCGATTTCCGCCCTCATGGATTGTGCGATCGATTGACGACGACGTCATCCCACAATGCAGTCCGCAGAGCCATAGAGATAGGGGAGGTTTTCAGACGACCGTCGAACTTATCCGACCTTGACCGTTCACGATGACGAAACTAATGTCAGTTCACATAGCTAATAATCGCACATTGACACTTCTGCACAGCAATAAAGAAGGTAAACCCGCGAGGTAAGCCATTTCCCAAGTGCGATATCCACTTTAGCGCACAGTCTCCCCAAATGTACCGATATCTGAAATGGGATATATCGAACTTGCGGGGTAAAGACTAAAGGGTTGAACCTCGCCAAAGAGCCCAGCGCCGTGTCTGATCTCTCTCTCTCTCTCTCTCTCTCTCTCTCTCTCTCTCTCTCTCTCTCTCTCTCTCTCTCTCTCTCTCTCTCTCTCTCTCTCTCTCTCTCTCTCTCTCTCTCTCTCTCTCTCTCTCTCTCTCTCTCTCTCTCTCTCTCTCTCTCTCTCTCTCTCTCTCTCTCTCTCTCTCTCTCTCTCTCTCTCTCTCTCCCCTTTCTTCCTTCATCACTTTCATTTTTTCCATGATTCTATCTTTTGGCTCATCATGGCAGTTTGTATAAGCTAGCTGAAACCATTGCGGTAATACAGGAGCTCGGACATGAGCTAAAGAATTCAATAAATCATAAAGGATTAAATAACAATTCATGAGGAGACTAGGATGACTGACTGTCAACGTTCTCCTCACTGTTCTTATATTTTTGTGTAGATTTCCACACTACCTGCATTTGAGGCACGTATGTACCAGAGCGAATTATTATCTCAAACTGCAGACTAGTAAAAGCTGACAGGGGCGCTAATGAGGCATTTATTTATGCCGATAAGATTAAAATTCAGTGATCATATCAGATGTTTTTTCTCGATGGAGTGTATGATTGACGTAGAATTATGACGGTGGAGGTAGATGGGACGACAGGAGAAGATAAAGGCACATGCGACTTCCTATCATGATCCAAGCCGAAGCTGAAAGAGCAGCGACTAGTTCCGACTCATAAACTGTATGATAGGGAAGGGAAAGCCGGCGGATGAGCCGCACAGGACATTACGATGTGAGAGTTCCGCGTGATGCGGCGTGTAACACCCGACAAACTCACTCAGCGGCAACGTGCTGGAAATACCTGCACAGCTTGCACTTTCCTGGCCACAGCAAACCCAGCGTGAAGCGTCCCAAAGCGTTGATCGAGAGGAAAGGAATGCTCGGTGAGTCTCGAACCCCAGGGTAGTGTGTTTGTGACACTGGATGACAGGACACTGGCCTATCCATCATATCTGATGACCCTCTTCACCGAATCGGAGCCAGTGTTTACCTGACCGCAGGAGAAGATGGAGCCATCAGCGACAAAATCAGCCCGGCCGCCTGCCCCAGTCCCAGCTTCCCCACCTCTCCCGCCCCCAGTCCGGTGCGGTGTCCCCTTCCCTGCTCTGCCCAGTCAACATACCCATTACGGGCCGGTAACAAATGAATCGCCTTTCACTCTCACTCTCCGCGTCCGACGCTAACGGGTCCAGTAAACACCGCCACACCTGGGGCCCACTCGCGGGCAATTAACACACCCCCGACCTCTACTCGCCCCGTCCAGGGACACGGCCGAACACACTGCAGCGCCTGTGCCGCGCGGTCTACTTTGAACCGCTCGAGCCGGGGGTGGGAGGGTCTGGAGCCCGGGGGCACAATCGACGGTCGCGCCGATCAGAATCGTGAAGTCAGTGGCCTCCCGCATGGAATGTGTGTCCGGCCAATTTGGGAATAACACGGCGACGGATGAAAAGCGACAACGGTGGTGAGCAATGCTATTACTTTTGGCACGGTTGACCGGCTCGGCCGTGGGCCCATGGTCCACGACACAGGAGACCCAGCTCACGCCGGTCGATCGACCAAAATCAGCAGATAGCGAGCTAACGGAGGGAAAGGAGAGACGTGGGGAAGCTGCACAGCTTCTGTGAAAGCTGCACAGTTTTGGACAAAGACGACATTAATTGGAAATGGACTTATAATGGGCATGGTATGGCATGGCATAGCCAATAGGCATGAAAATAACATTGCCTGACTTACCTAAATTAACAGATGTGCCTAAATGAGCTATGAAGGTAAAACTGTGTATCTAGTATCTACCTACTGTGAATAATTAGGTATCTTACTGTAAATAAGATAAGCACCAAATCGGAGGATGGTTAGGAGTTCAAATGGGCCTATACAATTTCATTCATTTCTGATCAATTGGATGAAGAAACTCGGACGGGTTCGATTGCTGATTAGAAGACGTTCCCCAGAAAAATGAATAAAATCGACGCATTTCGCATTAAGAATGCGAGTAATGCGAGTGCCGTTTAGCAATTTAGTAAATCGCCCGGAGAAAGCTGAATGCTCATATAGGCATCTGTTTTGATGATAACAAAGATGGCTGTCTGGTGTCACTTCACAAAAATAGATGCCTGTCAATGAATAATGGCCCTATCTTATCAGCAACCAGTCAGTAGATATGACCAATGCGATTTATCTTAGTCAATAAGTTTTAGCTATCGACACAGGTGAAAGTGTTGTTGTTTCATCAAGTTTCACTTCGCCATGAATACAAAATGACAAAATATTATATTTATTTCATTTATGAAATAGCTTTGACCAAAAGGTTCGGCGATGTCTAGGTAGTTCGTTTCCTTGCGGTTTTTCCTGTTGCATACGAACAAAAACTACACCGTAAAATGTGTGTTATTTACCGACTTATTGCATTGCGATTTTTCGCTTGTAATTAACTATTTTGTAGTTTGGTTGCCTATCTTTTATAAGTTTTCCCACATGTGTAATAACTAGTGATTGACGTTATTTTGCCATATTCGCACAATTTTGACACTCAACTCAGCTAGCCTGTCCCGTAGCTCAGTTGAGCGCTGAACTCCCGTAGTGAGAGCCCGGGTTCGTTCGAGTCGCTCCGGTGCTCGATATTTGAGACTCCTGGCGGTTGGTTGGTGGGAGCAGCCGCAGCCAGTTGAAGTCAGTTGAGTGGGACAGACCGTGTCAACGGTTTTGAATGGCACGTTAAACTTTGCCATCAGTAAATTCTCCCGTTGCCCGGAATTGCGCTATCGGACTGTAGGGGTCGGGGTGTACGCAACAAGCTCTGCTTGCGTAGGCCCCGGCTCTGTCGATTTGTCCATTCAAACATTCAAGCTAAATTTATTAAATTAAAGCTATTTATTAAATTAATTAAATTTATTAAATTAAAGCTACGATCCATATTTGCTGCAAAACGAATATATTACATGTTGTTGGCATTCTTCGATGACAGTACCTACCTAAGCAAGAAGAGTCGAATTTCTCTATCTTCAAACGTCTCAGGTGTTAGCGGCCTATGCTGCGTTCAGACTTAGTGTTACCCACTTTTCAGCGTTGCAGTCTCTCGGTGGATGCTAATGTTTTACAGTTCGTATGCTTTTGGAAGAATGCATTGTGTTTTGCTGTCTGCACTGTCGATATGTTGATTGACGGTATTACACTGTCATTCTGAGGCAGAAGTTGAGACTGCGCAACGCTGCTTTACGTGACTTTATCATGTTCTACCTAATGTAACACGACATGGTACAAACAATCACAAGAGTAGAATTTGGCAACTTATTATTAGTTTACTGCTTGGCTAAGTTCGTTGTTGTTTGCCCCGTCCGAGTGCCCACTGGCAGGTTGATAACACTGATAACAAGAACAGTGCCGTAACATGCCCTGACTAACGTAAACGTGCAAATTAGACACAAACCCAACCATGCAGCGTCACACGTTTAGAGTCACAGATGACCTTGTCTTGCACATAGGTACAAGTTAGGTGTGGGAGCTTTCCCATTATCTTGTGCTCAAAACAATCAAAGCATGTTCTATGTAGGTACCTAGATTATCCTTTCATCTAGCGTTTGCACGGCTTGATGACTGAGGTATATGTTTTTAATGCTTGTTTAGAGTAGGTAATTATTTGTCCACAACGACAAGCTCGGATAAAGTTATGAGAATTTGTTATGTAAATATACCCGCATTACTATCATTAAATTATATAATATCTGAATATAATGTGTGAATATATGATGTTGTAAATCGATTAATAGGTACAGCGGTATGCTCGATATCCTTTTTTTTGTGAACGATAAAGCTATGACAACGCAACGAACAAATGCCTCCTTTATCTTCAGGATGCTCGAAAATGTCATGACCACCGACAATATAAATCATCTGACAGCAACTTCACCACAGACGTTTTGAACTTATGCTGTAGCAGCCCACGAGGAATATTACTTCACCGGGTCACCCGCCTCACCTGGTACCCTGTTCTGCAACGGTCTCTTGTCCTCAGAACACACACTCGGCGACTCAGTCCGACGTCTCGTCCGTCCTTCGTACACCAGTCTCCCACGTGTGTGCCGGCTCTGCGCTCTGACTGGTCGGAGCCACCCACCTCACAGCACGCGCCGCACCGACTGACGCCGCCGCCGCCGCCGCCACCGCTCCCACCGCCGCCGCCGTGCCGCCAGTCCGCCGCAGTGGGTCAGGGGACCGAGCGGAAGCACCCTTCCGCCCAGCTGCCCGATCGGACGATCCCCTGCCGTTCCCCTTCGGCCACCAGCTGGGACTCTCCCTTTCGCCGGGAGTCATGGCTGAAGTGAATGAAGATGACCGGCCGCCTTTATTGCAGGTATAGGCTTGAACTGAAATTGTTCCTACAAATAAACAGAGATAATTTCTGAATTTACTCGTAGCCGAATACGAGCTTCATTCGATAAGAGCCGTATTCGTTACGATTTTTGGCCGTTACGAACGTTGTCCCGCATACGATCGGCGAGCTTTGTTTTGTCCGGATCCTGAAAATAAGCACTGGCGCCCGAAGTCCCGTAGCTCAGTCGGTAGAGTGTTGGACTCCGCGTGGCGAGAGCACGCACGCATTCCCGGTTATAACAGTCCGAACCCGCGACGGGTGCATGACGTTTATGGACCTCCTGACAGGTATGGTTGCGGTTGTTGGCAGGCCGTAGCCCGGCGAAGTCAGTGAGGGGACCGGCCGTGCGCGGCTATGTGCACACGTTCAACTTTGGACTCCAAATTTTGCCATAGAACCGAAATTGCGCGATCGGAGGATAGAGGGCAGGGCCAACGCGCATATTTACGTCTGGACAACGAGTTGCGGGGAAAAGTGCTGATTTTGTTGCAGTTTTAGGAGCCGGTGATTAGGCTGGATTTTTGGGTTACTTTTTCGTTCCGATTAATGTATTTCATTGTGTTTGGCTTTTGAATATTTTAGTTCTTTCAGATAAATATTACTTGCCTTACAACTTTTGTAAAAACGTTTCATTTTTTATAAGCCGACGTTCAGAGTCCTAAAAATACATCAGCACTACAATCATTGTAAACAAACAGGAGCACCACTTGGCGCTGTTCCAAGGCCATTTTTTAGTGTATTTGGTGGTTTTCTTACTCTTGTACGTCGTTTTGTTGGATATTTTGAATATTGACTTATATCATATTTAAGAAGCATGTTGACTGAAAACAATCCGAAGTATCCAGGAGGCTGACAGAGCTCCTGACTCCTGAGCAATATCAATATCAAGTTGAACAAGTTATGAAATTTTGGTTGATAAACGCAAGGTGATCGGGCTCATATATCAGCAAGAAAAAGTAAAATTTAAAGAGCTTATTGGCCAAAAACAAGCTATAATATTGCAGACCTTGGAGCAATACCTACTGAAGAGCACGCTGAGCAGCTGATCATGCCAGAAAATGTTGACTGATGAGCGCATATTTATGTATTGGTATGGATATTGAATGATAACTTACAACAGCAAGATAAATTAGTGCTAACTTTCAAGTTAAAAATCTAGAATGAATGGACTTGGGCAGCTTAGATGTGTCATGCTATGCAGATTGTAATGTGCATCAGGTACTCAGTGTCTGGCAAATGAAACATGCGATCATTCCATTGCTACTGGAGGAGAAAGCTTGGATCACTAAATCCACTTTATGTTGATTTTGATGTTAATCATCACTGTATTTCTTGAAAAAAGATTGTAGTAGAATTGTCAATGTGACAATCCATGCAACGATGTGATCATATAATGTGTTCATAGTCATTCGTGATAGTGATTATTGGTCCAATATACAATGGCAAAGCTCTCAGTCTCAGCGTTTCTTCCTGTGGATGGCCAGCAGTGACTCAGAGCTTAGAAGTATTAGTTTTCTTCACAGGGCTGGGATAAAAAGTACTGAGGGTAATCTTCCACCAAGGAACTCTACTTTGACATGGTATGAGATGTAGGCACAAGTAGGTAGGTGCTTAGTTCTTATAGTCAGTAGTTGTGTATGTTTAGTCGGGTTAGCTTAGATTAGATTGTTAGTTTTTTAATTTGCCAAGTGTCCATAAAAATGTGACCTGAGCAATGAGCATACTCCTGACTAACCTGACAGCTGACCTAACCTCAATCATCACACATATTTGCAGCCTACCCAAGACCTGCATAGCAGTAGGCAGTAGCACCCAGTTATAGGTAGGTACTCACCCTAACTCAATCTTACCTGCTAACCTTCAACTTGCCAAAAGTTAGCTCACATTGCCAAGCTGCATCCAGGGAAACAGTCAACTGAGGAACTGGCTCATTGGGTGGCTGGTGTGAGTCTGTGCACTTAAAGTGTTTCTTCTCTGAAGCTGCTCTGCACTGCTGTATCATGTCATGTTAGATGCTCAGAAAATGTGGGAAATGATTACTAAGCTACTTTAGTGCTTTGTTAATGCTCGAGACATGAACAAGTACAGATCCTGCAGGGTACAGCTGTGAGTTAGGTGCTAGGTGAGTATGTTATGTGAATGTGCTGTTCCCTGTTTGACCATAGTAAGCATACAAACAAGCACAGGGTCACAGTTATATTCAATCTCCACATAAACATACAACAAAACGGCCATATGGCCTAACTCCGAACACACCACAGATAACTTAAGCCTTTGCAGGCACAAAAATGTTTTGATTAACAGGACAGGTATACAATATATCCTCTGCCCTTGGGGGATCTTGCTGCCAAGTTGAGGTACGATGACTTAACTTCTGGATTGATCAACCTTTTCTTAGCCACTGCTTATATACGAGAAAGACCAAATGCTTGTTTGTTTTGATTTACAGGACATGTATACAATATATCCTCTGTCCTTGGGGGATCTTGCTGCCAAGTTGAGGTACGATGACTGAACTTCAGGATTGATCAACCTTTTCTTAGCCACTGCTTATATACGAGAAAGACCAAATGCTTGTTTGTAAACTGCGTTGAAAATTTAATGATCCACCTTCAATTCTGACATGAAGACACAAGAAGAAATAGTTCCCTCTCCTTTTGGAATACACAAAGCAAAATATTTAATAAATTTTAGTGGATGGACAAGAGCAATTAGCATAACTTCCCTCAAGTTAACTTCTGGCACTGATGAATTACACACTGACGCTTATTCGCTTCATATTTTGTAACAAACGCGCTAAAACTGCAATATAACAGCACTATATGCTTCTTGACAAAATACAATAGAAGTAAAAATTTAGCCCTGATGGCATTCATTCTTGGTGGAAACGTAATTACAAAATATTTTGTAGTAACTATTAAATTCCAGCCGAAAACAGTCCACGGTTTAAAAAAGAATCATTCCAATGACGGTCCATTCTTGCGGTCCTGAAATCGCCACTATTTCCGGCCTTTCCAACGCAACTCGTTGTCCAGACGTAAATATGCGGCCAACGCAACAAGCTTCGCTTAGCGGTGTCCCTGTCGTTGTGAATCCTTCCAAGCAATAGGTTCGGACTAAATTCATAAAAAAGTCAAAGCATTTAGGGACAAATTCGGAGTTGAAGGGCAAGGAACGCAGACTTTTCAAAAACCGGAATATATATGATAGAACACGTGCTTATGACTTACTCTAGCAAGTTTTAGCCAGATATCTTCAAAAATGGCCAAGTTTTACGCTAGCAAAAATTTCACAATTTTAAATTTTTTAAGTCAATTTTCAGTACGAATTTGACATCGTACACCAATACCTATAAATAGCACCATCGTGTTTCTGAGCTAAAACTGCATCCGATAGACATGTTTTTGTTGAACAATTTCAATTTTAAAATTTGACCTTTTTTACCTGGAAGTGGCCTGAACCCTGACCTAAGCAAAATTCAACTCAAAATGGCCTTAAATGACAGAAACGACATCAATTCGAAATCTATGGCCTAAATGGACCATAAAACATGTGGCACGTGACCGACTTATGATATAAGATTTCCGTGACCTGTGATGACCTGACGGCTGACCCTGACCTGAAAATCAAACTTCAAAGTACAAGTTTGGTACCCTCAGGGTATCTAAAGCATCTGTTCACGAGTGTGTAAACCAAAAATTAGCCTGATCTGACTTGTAAGACGGAAGCCAGAGCCCAAAATGTGAACAAGCCAAACATCGATAGTTCTTACTTTGACTTGACCTGTGACATCATCGGTGACCTCGAGGTCAATGAAATTAGGTTTCGTTCGACAGTTTTTCCGGGGCTATCAGATGCCGTTTGAATCTCGACGATCGGCCTAGTAGTTTCGGAGTTAGGAGGGGTGCTATGAATAGCCCCCCCCCCCCCAGTAGGGCTAAGCAAATACACGGTTAAAATTGTAAAATGACCGTAAGAGGGTCAAAAAAAAAAATGTAGCGAGGGCGCCGTGAGCGGTGAGAACATTAAAAGGGCGCCATTTTCCTAGAAGGGCGCCGAGTGATAGGAAACGCTAAATGGTCCAGGGGCACTGGGAAGCCAGTAGGGTGCCAACTGCCAAACGGTCAGCCAGCGCTAAGTTGGTGGGGACGTAGGGCGTCAGAGGTTATGAGGGCGCCATGAGACCATTATTATTATTTTATTATTACCTCGTGTATTTCCACTATGAAACGTGTATTTCCTTGGCGACCATGAAAAGGGCGCCATTCTCCTAGAAGGGTGCCGAGTGATTGAAAACTTTATATGGTCCAGGGGCGCGGAGAGGTCAGACGAGCGCCGAACAGTCAGTAGCGCTAAGTTGGTGGGGACGTAGGGGCGCCGGATGGTTACGAGGGTGTCGGGTGACGTGAAACCATGAAAAGGGCGCCATTCTCCTATAAAAGCGCTGAGTGATTACAAACGTTATATTATTCAGAAACGCGAGACGGTCGGGAGGAAGCCGTTAGAGCATGCGAAGGGAGGCGTGCTCTCGAAAGGAAACTTGACTTGTGGGTGCATTTTTATTATTGTGGGGGCATAATTCCATAATTTTGGATTGTGGACGCATCTGCTTGCTGATTCTGCTCCCACAAAGAGATATAAAAATCCCTGCGGATCTAATATGTTCGAGAGGTCTCATGCCTCGTGGCTCGTATATCTCAGATTTTTCCTTAACCCTCGCCCGCACATGGGGGGGGGGGGGTGGTTGCC